CTTGTGAGGAGTTCTAGAAGAAAAAGAAAAAGAAAAAAAAATGACATGGCAAGATTGCAGAGGAGAGTCGTCTCTCTGCAGAGGGTCTGTAGAGGCGTTTCTTAGTGACGTGGCGAAACACAATTGGTTAACTTTTTTTTAATAATAAAAAATTTCAAAGAGTCTCTTCTCTCAGCTCTACAATACCCAGCTCTACAATACTCATGCTCTAAGTACTAAATTAATTACTAGGTATATAATTCGCGCTACGCGCGAGTCTGTATTAATTTTTTGATTTATTGTTTTAACTACTATCTTTAAAATTATTAAAAATTATATATATTTATAGAAATTTTCATTTATATAAGAGAATTTAATATATAATGTGTAATTTATCCTATTTTTATTTATAAATTTTAAAAAACTATTAGGTAAAATAATAACAATGACTCCTATCGAATTATCCAACTTTGAAGTACATATACATTTGATTTAGAGAAATATAATATTGCTAAGATTTTAGTATTATTTTCTGTTTTCCATAGAATTTTTATAGTTTTTTTTTTTTTTTGAAGGTTTATGTGTTCAAATATTTAGTTTTTTATTGAAAGTCTTATTGATGTTGTATACCACTGTATATATAATTAATGATTCATGTTGATTCACATTTAATTTTGTTAGGAAACTGTAATGATCATGCAAAACCATTTTTTCCTTCTCCATCATGTCTTCCAAGAGCTTTATATTATATTTTTATTCAGTTTTCATTGTTTTAATTGTTAAATCGAGTTGTTGTAGATTTTTTTAAATTGATAATTGATAATGGTTACTTTTTTTATACATGTATTGTTAATTGTTAATTTTTTTATTTAACTTTAAAAATTTTAAACCATATTAACATTTTCTGATTTAATAAATATGTTGATTTGGATCAATCAGATTGAATTTACTTTTTTTGTTGGACATAATTTGTTAAATTAACTTTTAATATTTTAATTATACTTAATAATTTTTGGTTTGATTTAAAAGCTGATGTGGACCAATCAAATCGAGTTTTTTAATCTAATGTGGACGCCCTCAATGCACTATACCATCAACTTTTATATATTATATGATGTAAACACACTCTTTTGTCTCATTTTCGCAATGATACTACTCACAGGGCGTAAAAGTCATTGTAAAACTTCAGTTTATAATAGTTTATAAAAGTAATTATAAATTCAATTGCCAGAATTTCATTTAAAATGTTGAGACTAAGCAAGAAAATATAATTTTTTGCTCCAAATAGTTGTACCAAAAACAAAGGTGTGCCCTAAGTCTAAGCATATCAAATATGAGCTTGCATTCCTTATTTTATATAAAAATATTGTAAGAAAAAACAGCTAATTTTCTGAAAATTTTGCAAAACAATAAAATTTAGATGCATCGACATAAAAATTTGTAAGACAAAAACAGCTTATATTAGCTTTTAAGTTTTAACTAAGTAATGTCAATTTCACATTGCTATTCATTGTTAACACTTGGTATTTACCCGCGCTATGCTACGGGATATTTTTCTAAATTTTGTATATAATTTTAATATAATAAAATTATTTTTATAATGTAAATGAGTATTATATTTATTTTCTTATTAGCTTAATTTATATATTTATCAGTTTTAAATCTGATTAAACATTATATATTTTCTATTTTTTTCAAACTTATAAATGTATATATAGGAATAAAATATATAAGAATAAAGCAATACATTTTTTGTATCTTCATGTTGATGGCAAATGTAATCTATTTTCTCTAATAAATTGCCATTTGATCGTCTTTTGTAATTATATAAAGCAAAATGCCATTTTAAAAAAATTATTAATTTATATGATTATTTTAAATTATAAGATTTATTTATTTATCAAATATTTTATTATAAACATATGTTTCTAAAACTACCAAACTATAATCAATAACATTCATATCAAAACCATTTTTATTGCTTTAGAACTAAATATAGAATTATGTTTGAACTCTTAAAATATCGTTTTAGTTAAAATTAAATAATTAAATTTTGGTTACTGTAAACATACTTTAACTTGGAAATTTAGTACAGAAAAATTTATCTTCTTACAAAAATCGAGAAATCGCATTTCCCGTTTAAACAAAAAAACTTCATTTTTGTATTAAACTGAAAAATCGCATATTCCAGCAAAAATCAAAAAATTCATTTTCTCTTCAAGCTTAAAACCTAAATTTTATTTTCACGCGAGAACCTTTGTTTTTCCACCAAAGCCTAGAAATTACGTTTTTTCACAAAAACCAAAAAAATTCATCTTCCTGTAAAAACCAAAAAAAATAATTGTATTTTCCTGCCAAAATCGAAAATTTTATTTTTCCTGCAAAAACTGAGAAATCGTCTATTCCTGCCAAAACAGTAAAAAAAATCAATTTTTCGTCAAGCCCAAAATCGCGTTTTCCTACAAAAACAAATATAAACTATAATTTTCCGCGAAACTAAAAATTGCATTATCTTCTGTATAATTGTGTTTTCCTGCGAAAACTAAGAAATTATTATGTTTTTATCGGTTCAAATTTTTGATGAAGTGTGAGCTTCTTATAACATAAGACTTTTTGCGTTGTTGTCATGTAAGCATAGATTGATGATGGGCCTACACTTTTTCAATCATATACGTCTATGTCAAACAAACATATAGCTAGAATTTTTTTGTTATTTATTTGTTGTTATTTATTATTTGGATTTGGTTTTGGCAAAAAAAAGAAAACAATGATTTAATTTTTTATTTGTTTTTATTTTTTATTTGGGTTTGTATTTGGAAAAAAATAAAATAATGATTTTTTATTTGCTGTTATTAATTATTTGAGCTTGAGTTTGGTAAAAAGTAAAACAAAAATTAATAAAAAAATATTTAGATTTTTAATGGGTTTAAGTTTAAAAATTAAAATAAGTAGATGAGGTGTATTAATAAAATGTTTTGATTGGTGATTATTTTTGCTGAGGTGTCATGTTTATAAAGCTTAAAAAAGCTGAGGTGTCAAACCATGAAGAGACTTTAGTGTTACTAGATGATGACCCGCGTATACACACAGATTTACATTTTATGATATATTTTTGATATATAATTAATATAATATTTTATGATAAATATAATGGGTTTATATTATATGATATATTTTTATATATATAATTAATATAATATTTTATTTTAAATATATTTTTTTGTAATTATTAACTATGGTAATACATAATTGTTGTTTAAATTTATCTATATTTTCTTTCATTTATGCTTTTAAATGTTGTGGTTATTTATATTTTAAAATTTTTCATAATATATATTTTCTACAACAATGGAAAACGTATAAGCCGCCATCAGACAATATCTCTTTCAAACATGTTGCATTGTATTTTTATAAAAAAAAAAAAAACATGTTGCATTGTACTTTCTTATTTACAAAAAGGTCAATTCACTCCATCCGACATTCCAAGAATCAATGACGAGACATGCATAAAATTAGGCAGCTTACAGATTTGTTTTGTTTGAATATTTCTTGGAGTTAAATGATTATCATACTCGAGATCCTAGCCACCCTGTTTTACTTAGCGTTTTGTTTAGAGAAATCAAACAGACCAGATTGGCTGCATTCTCAAATCCAAGGTCCATTCAAGTAGTTACAAATGTTAATTTCAGCTCATCTCGCTCTATCTGTGGCCTAATGTGCATATCCTTCTTCTCCAAAGTCTAATGCTACGCAAAATACAAGTAAAACAGTAAGAGATTTTCATTTTTGAATGATTACCTTTATACTCAATGCAATTTCCATACAACAAGCATCAAGATCACACAAGGCTCCTCAGCAGGACATCCAAAGTATCCAATCCTACAAACTTCGCACATCAAATTGAAAGTACTGAAACAGACGATCTAGAAGAATCCATAAAGGTGAGTAGGTAAGTCGCAAAAAAAAGGAAAACAACGTTTTTTATTAACAGCAGATTATGAATGCTGTAATAAGAACAAAACGGTGAGTAGTATTTGCATACAAGATTCACCACACGACAACATTTACTCTAACAGCAAGAAAATTCAACAAATCCCAGATTATTTGCCTAATCTCTTGACTTTTGTAATTATTAGTGATAAGTAAAAGGACTTACTGTAAGAAATGAACAATCTGAAAGAGTGAGAGATCAAGGAGGGCAGGAGAAACTGAGCCCATAGATCCAGCGGATCTGGCAGGTTTGGTGGCTCCGGAGGAACGGGAGTGGTCGGCGACACTGAGAAGGAGATTCTCCGGTTGAAAGAGAGAGACGTGCCGTTCAAGCAGTTCCGACAGAGTGAATCGATGGATCGGAAGCTCACTCCTCAATAGCAACATGGAGGTCATCGATTAAGTGCCGGAGAGAGAGAGAGGGAGGCTAAACAAAATCTTGTCGGAGAAGAGGAGATTCAGAGACAGAGACTACCGGTGAACTTAGGTAAAGAGGCGAGCGGCAGAACTCATTGTGTCTTCTGGTATGCCTATGGCTGAAGAACATTTTTGATTTTCATCTTCTTGTCTCCTCTCCCAATGGAACGATGTTGACGATAGCGGATTCGATCTCTTCTCCATTTCCATTGTCGATTAAGGAGCTTTACATAATCCACGGTGCTGATTAAATTGAACAAAAATACTAATTAAATTCTGGAAGAAATGCTTCGTTAGAAGATATTTTCTGTTTGACCGAGAGATATAAAAAAAGTTAAGCGATACTGACTTTTCGTCTGAGAAAATTAAATATTTTTTTCAATTAAAAAAAAAAATCTGCTGAGATGTTATGGAGGCGATGCTGACGTGTTCTCAGTTTTTATATAATAGATTGTTGCATTGATTTCCTCACAGTATATGGGCTTTCTGGATCTGGAATTGTAGGCCCACTATTTTTAGCCCATAAAGTGAGAACTCAAAAGTAGATAGGATTTTTTCTCCCAACCGTGAACTGGCGTTCTGCTTTCACTACCTTCTTCGTTCACTGTGAATCAATGGCGTCTTCTTCCCTATCAACTCTCTGCAGCTCTGCTTCCTCGTCTCTACATCCAAACTATAAGCTCTCACATTCTCCTTCCGCTAAATTATCTTCCAAATCAAATGTCTCCGTCCAGTTTCTGGGAAAGAGACAGCCCACACTTCTCTCCTCATCCCCGAGATTCCTCACCGTTATCGCTATGGCTCCACCGAAACCGGGAGGCAAAGCCAAAAAAGGTACAATCTTCTCCTTAAAATCTTAAATTCGGGCTCGATTGACTTATGGGTTGGGATAATTTCGCAGTTGTCGGAGTTATAAAACTCGCTCTGGAGGCGGGGAAAGCAACTCCGGCGCCGCCTGTAGGTCCGGCGCTTGGTTCGAAAGGAGTCAACATTATGGCTTTTTGCAAGGATTACAATGCCAGAACCGCTGATAAAGCCGGCTATATCATTCCTGTTGAAATCACAGTCTTCGATGTGAGTTTTCACTTCTTCTACCCTAAATTTGCAAGATTTTCCGGGTTGATGAACCTATAGAAGACAGTCAAATTGTGATAATTTGTTACCAAAAGCTGTCTTTTGCAAGTCCTGTAAATGTTTTGTCTTCGATAGGAGCAGCATTTGAATAGTGATATGTCTCTGGAGTCACATATCTCTATGAGATCGTTTCATAGAAGTTTATATGTATGGTTGCAGGATAAGAGCTTCACTTTCATCCTCAAGACCCCTCCTGCTTCGGTTTTATTGCTCAAGGCTGCAGGTATTCTTTTGTCGAATCTGAGAATGAGTACCATTGTCAATGAATTGTGCATTTTGATAATAAAGTTTGCTTCTATAGGAATGATCATCTTTTGAATCTTATCTTGCTTTTTGCAAAGCTGCACAGCTTGAGTTCTGCTAGAATCATTGACTTGTGCTCCTTCTCAATTATAGAGAATTCAAGAAGCAAGCGAATGAGTACCATGATCAATGAATGTTGCACTTTGATAATAGAGTTGCTTCTATAGAAATGATCATCTTAAGGAGCTTGCTTTTGAGTTTTGAATCCTATCTTCCTTTTTGCAAAGCTTGAGTTTTGCTAGAGTCATCACTTGTGCTCCTTCTCAACTATAAGAAACTCGTGGTACAAGAACTAGTAGCAAGAAAATCATTCATACCATATGTTTGTGATTGTGACCTACACTATGCCCTTTGTCTTCCGAGTTTTGTTAGATCATTACTTTGAGCTTCTACTCGAATGTGGAATAATGTGGCAAGAAGATCTTATGTTTTGTGATGTATGACATTTGTTGAGTTGTGGGAATAGGTGTTGAGAAGGGATCGAAAGATCCAAAGCAAGATAAAGTTGGGACGATAACAATAGACGCCCTCCGCACGATCGCGGCGGAGAAGCTTCCCGATCTGAACTGCACCACCATTGAATCCGCAATGAGAATCATCGCAGGAACTGCAGCTAACATGGGGATAGACATCGACCCTCCGATTCTTGAACCTAAGAAGAAAGCTGTTTTGTTGTAAAAGCCTTACATGGGTAGTCTTCTGTTTTTGATAATGTCTGATTTATTTTCTAAATGTAATTTCCAACAAGACACTTGAGAGATATCCATATAATGATTATTTTGAGTCTTGGTTGTTTTGTTTAAAACTTTAAATTAAGAATTTGAATCATCATATCCCCTATATATTAAAACCCTTATATATTAAAAGAAAAGCATTTTTAGAGAGAAACCTTAAATTTGTAAAATATTACAATAGTGTCATTATGCTGATGTGTCATCATCATAGAGCTTCTCAATATTTTTATAAAAAAAGACTTCTCTTACTAGAATATTTAGATGTCATGCTATTATGCATTATTATAACCAAACATATATTATATATTTATAAACTATCCATCGATATATATTAGTTTATATTTAAAAAACACATCTACACATGTACTTAAATTTATCCATCGACAAATTATGCACCATATAAATGTATTTTTCATTATAACATGATGCAATTTTTATAATGTATTCAACTATTATAGTTCTAAAAAAATAATTAAAATATTATACATTAATCATATTAAAAAGAAATAGTATAGTTAGTAGATTCATTCATTCCAATAGTTAGTATCTTTTATATTTGTATCCAACATAATTATTAATTGTTTATACTAATTTTTTATTTTGATTCGTAAATCTTAACTTTAGAAATAGTAGTTTAGAATAAATCGCATGCATATGAATTAATAAATTTTTTTAATTTTGATTGTTAAATCTTGACTTTAGAAATAGAGGTTTAGAATTAATCGCATGCATAGAAAGATAAACTAATCACATATAAATTAATTTACATGCTAAATATGGATTAAATGATAACTTGAGAAAGATATATCAATAGACATTAACTTTAAATTATTCATGCATCAATATATAGGAACTAATAAATTAAAAGGGGATCAATATATGCCAGGTACTCCATATATATGCATTAAATGAGTAATTGTCAAACTTAATAGTTGATTAATAACGTTATTGATGTGTATTCGTCTTTTTCAATCTATGATTAGTAGAGTTAATACATCTTTCCTAAGTATTAGGTAATAATCGATACTACTAATTACTATTTAAGAAATGATATATTTCATTGTTCATTTGATAGTTAGTAAAAACATAGTTCAACCGATTAGTATCTTAAATATTAACTTCATATCTATAATTGAGTCATTTCGTTATTTGATGTCTTATATTTTAAATATTACATGTGCCATAAATACTTATCATATATATCATGATTTAAATTGTCACCCAACTATATATAAGACGTGTGCTATATGCACTCACATATCACTTTCTCATTGCATTTTCTGGTTAAAGTTTTTGTACAGTTCATTCTCATGGCATCTTTTAGTTCTACTACTGATCTGAAACCTAGAGGTTTCAATCGTTTTCTGGGTTTGAATTTTGTTTTTTAGTTCTGTTTTTTCAATAATTTGCATCCTTTATGTTTCGTTATTTGTTTCCGTAAAATTCTAATGAAGCCTTTATTTTTTAATCTTCGGTCTCTTTACATGTTGTTTTGTATATAGTTTAAGTACATTGTATTATTACAACTTCAAACTATATTCCATTTGATTAACCTTAATATTCATCAGACAATAAAAAATAAGTTCTAAGATTCGAATCATATACAATGTGATTATTTGTTTATTCATGTGACACCACGTTGGTTTGATTGCAACTTATATTATTCTCTATTTTCTCTTTTGTTTATAATCCTTTTTATTTGGTTAGCCGTTTTAATTCTTATTTATTTATCCTAAAATAATTTAAAGAGATAAAATAATTGTTTATTATAATTATATCAATCAATGACTACTACAAATCTACCCAATACATTGGTGTATTAAATATTACTAATATATTTTTCATAAATAAAAAACTTTCTGATCACCACTCTTTGATAGCATTTACGTAGCTTTGAATATGGATGCTTTGATATTATTAGCATAATTCTTTTATATTTCCGACTATCGTTAGTAAGCAATAATTTGTTTTTTCTTTTACAAATTAAGTTATTTATATCTATCATTTTTTATATCATTCAAACCTATATTTAAACCCATTAGAGTAAAACAATGTATATTGATTGGACGTTACATCGGTTTTATACTAATATAAATAAAAAATACTCTATTATATTATTAATATATTTTACAATCATATTATATAAAACAAAAATTAAATCTAAATATATTATGTTATAAAATATTTAAAAAATTATATTAATTTAATAAAAGATATTTTACCCCGCGCAGGGCGCGGATTATTACCTAGTAATATATAAAAGTTGATCGCATAGTGCATTAAGGCCGTCCACATGGGATTAAAAAACTCGATCTGATTGGTCCACATCAGCATATTCATTAAATAGAAAAATGTTAAGTATGATTAAGACAGAAAAACTTGATTTAATTGGTCTACATCAGCTTTTAAATCAAACCAAAAATTATTAAATATAATAAAAACATCAAAAGTTAATTTAACAAATTATGTCCAACAAAAAAAGTAAATTCAATCTGATCGATCCAAATCAACATATTTATTGAATCAGAAAATATTAATATGGTTTAAAAATGTAAAAGTTAAATAAAAAAATTAACAGTTAACAATACATGTATAAAAAAGTAACTATTATCAATTATCAATTTAAAAAAATCTACAACAACTCGATTTAACAATTAAAACAATGAAAACTGAAAAAAATGTAACATAAAACTTTTGGAAGACATGATGGAGAAGGAAAATATGGTTTTGCATGATCATTACAACTTCCTAACAAAAATAAATACGAATCAACATGAATCATGAATTATATATACAGTGGTACACAACATCAATAAGACTTTCAATGAAAAACTAAATATTTGAACACATAAGCCTTTAAGAAAAAAAAAAAACTATAGAAATTCTATAGAAAACAGAAAATAATACCAAAATCTTAGCAAGATTATATTTCTCTAAATCAAATGTAAATGTACGTCAGAGTTGGATAATTCGATAGGTGTCATTGTTATTATTTTACCTAATAGTTTTTTAAAATTTATAAATAAAAATGGGATAAATTACACATTATATATTAAATTTTCTTATATAAATGAAAATTTCTATAAATATATATATAATTTTTAAAAATTTTCAAGATAGTAGCTAAAACGAATAAACCAAAATATAAATACAAACTCGCGCGTAGCGCGAATTATATACCTAGTATAATATATAAAAGTTGATGGCATAGTGCATTGAGAGCGTCCACATGAAATTAAAAAACTCGATCTAATTGGTCCACATCAGCATATTCATTAAATAAAAAAAATGTTAAGTATGATTAGAACGAAAAAACTTGATTTAATTGGTCCACATCAGCTTTTAAATCAAAAAAAAATTATTAAGTATAATTAAAATATTAAAAGTTAATTTAACAAATTATGTCTAACAAAAAAGTAAATTCAATCTGATTGATCCAAATAAACATAATTATTAAATCAGAAAATGTTAATATGGTTTAAAAATTTAAAAGTTAAATAAAAAAATTAACAATTAACAATACATGTATAAAAAAAGTAACCACTATCAATTATCAATTTATAAAATCTACAACAACTTATTTAACAATTCAAAAAATAAAAACTGAATAAAAATATAACATAAAACTCTTGGAAGACATGATGAAGAAGGAAAAAATGGTTTTGCATGATCATTACAGCTTCCTAACAAAATTAAATGTGAATCAACATGAATCATGGATTATATATACAGTGGTACACAACATCAATAAGACTTTCAATAAAAAAAACTAAATATTTGACACACAGAAACCTTCAAGAAAAAAAGAACTATAAGAATTCTATGGAAAATAGAAAATAATACCAAAATCTTAGCAAGATTTTATTTTTCTAAATCAAATTTATATGTACGTCAAAATTGGATAATTCGAGAGGTGTCATTTTTATTATTTTACCTAATAGTTTTTAAAAATTTATAAATAAAAATAGGATAAATTACACATTATATATTAAATTCTCTTATATAAATAAAAATTTCTATAAATATATAAAATTTTTAATAATTTTAAAGATAGTAGCTAAAAAATAAACCAAAATATTAATACAGACTCGAGCGTAGCGCGAGTTATATACCTAGTCTATACTATGAAAGATGACCAACTCTCTCCAGCTGAGTGCCACCTCATCATTTTGATTTAATGTGAAAATAGCATATATCATTTTTTAAAATTTAATGATATAAATTATATAAAATATAGTTAATGTATAAATAAATGTATTATTAATCATAATACTAAAAGAATATGAAGATTATGAAGTATTAGATAATATATTTTAATAACAATATACATTAATATCCAAAAAATATTATTGAATATCTATTTTTAGTAGTTTTTAAAAACATTAAAATAATTTATATTTCTTATTTAAGAGTGTTTATTTATTTATTATTAATATCATAAGTTATTATTATCAAATAATTATATAAATATAAAATAACAATTATTAATATTTTGAACTTAAAAAAGTTAGATATACAATATTACTAGGTGATCGGTCTGCATCGTGTGCGGGCTATAATATATTTTGTATGTTTAATATTTGAAATATATTACATATTATTTTATGAATATTTACATATGATTAACTAAACATTAAGTAATACTGTTGTATGCACATTTAACAATTCAAAATAAGTAAAAATCATAAAATATTCTAATAGAAAATGTTATATAAACGTGAGAACATATAAAAAAGTGTAATAAAATATATCAAAAACATAAACTAAAAAAGATTATCAAAAACTTCTTTGTAGACGACATTCATAGTTTTCTTTTGCACCTTCCCTTCTTCACCTGTGATGAGAACTTTAAGTCCAGATCGAGATTTAACTCTAGATAAAGCAACATATAGCTGACCATGAGAGAAAACTGGTCTAGGTAGAAACAAACCGATATTCTGAAGTGATTGTCTTTGGCTTTTATTGATGGTCATTGCGAAAGCTAAAGCTAAAGGAAATTGTCTACGACGTATTCTAAAAGGAAACCTAGTGTCTGGTGGTGTGACATATATCCTAGGGATTAAAACCTTTTGACCAATCAATTTTTTATTTCCCGTTAAAATTCTATCTTCTACCACATGTCGAGCCATCTGAGTAATAATAAGCCTAGTCCCATTACATATCCCACCCTTAGGATCAATATTACGGGAATTTGTAAGAAATTTCGAAGGTTAAGAACTCTCCTTACAATTCTGAAGAAACACTCCTCTTGTTTGAATATCATCTTTGGCACCCACGCTAAACACTTGTCCAATAACATCTAAGTGCAAACATGTAAAGTAATAAACAATGAAAAATTAAAAGAAGGAATGGAATATCTTCGAAACATAAAAACGTAAATGTAGAAGAAGTGTTTTAGTATTACCAATCAAGATGTTTTTGTCGAGTTTATCATCCAAAATCTCAGAAAAATCACAAAAATATTTTTCTGGGAATTCTTTTGGGAAATCACAAACTGGTTTGATAACACTTGTTCGGGTTAATTCCATCTTGAACGGCAACAGAGAGGTTCTGTAATCCCCACCATATTCTTTAACTTTGAAAGCGTTGATGCTAACAGCCACACCTTCTTTAAAAGCTTGTCGATGTTTTTGTATAAATTCTTCAACCACTGTTGCATGAATCCTGGTTCCCTGAAAAAAATAGAAATAAGAAATCTTGTTACAACTTTGAAGGTAAAACATTAGAAAAAAAATATAGACATAAAAACAAACCTCTTCATCAACCAGCACCATTTCAGTTAAATTACCAGCAGTAGTTTTAAATCACTTCTTCTATAAATAAGTATTTTCTATATATAGAACCAAAATTAAAACCCATTGCATAAGAAAGAAAAACTAAATTGTTATTTTGGTACCTTGGAAACAGACTCATTTGATTCCTTCTCAAGTTTAGATTCTCTTAAGTCCACACTTTTTGAGTCTGAATTGAATCTGAAACCTGCAAATTTTAAAAAATACGAACCGTAATTATTTTGTTTTAATAAAAAACACGTCAAAACTAAGTCATCATGGTGCAACGATTTTTTTAACTTGGATCTATGCGTGGGTGCAGATTTACTTAATAAGGAGATGAATTATATACCTTTCTTCAGAGAATGCACATTTGTTTCTTTTATTCTCGTGATTCAGTCCAGTTGGCAAGCCCTCATAATTGAGAAACAGAGTTTAAGGCTTAAGAATGGATGGTAAGCTGCTGCTGGATGAGAAGGCATGAACCCTGGTGATGGAACCGCCATAGATTTCAACTGTTGCTCTATCTTCTCCTTATCAGCCTTCATCACCAGCTTCTCTTCCCTTAGCTCGTTGATATTCCTGCATATTTCATGTATTTTACATACATATAAGTTAGTTTCTCTCATATATACATTGCATTTTAGGTTAGTTTGCATCACTTTAGGTCCTAGAGTGTTCCTGCACCAGCATATGCGTATTTCTTGCATTTTGCATCGCATACAGGTTGTTTTCGGCTACTTTGGAGTCTTGGAGGGTTCGTGGACGTGCTGAGGCTCGTGAGGAGGTTCGTGGGAACTTGGAGAATTCAGGAATGCTTGCTAAAGACCAGAGATCGAGAAGCAGATTGAGCATGGCCGGTCGATCTAGATGAGATCGACCAGAAGATCGAGTAGTCCATCCGATCCAAGGGAACTGATCGAGACGGAGATCGAGTGAAGCGATCGATCAAGGAGTACAGACGTAAATAACACCATGCAGATCGAGAGTCGGATTGAGTCATCCACTCGATCCTCCAAAGATCGACTCCAAGATCGAACGAAGCACTCAATCCACCGAAGAAGATCGAGACACATATCGAGCCGAAGTCACGATGTCCGAAGATGATCGAGCGAGATGCTCGATCTCGAGGTCGATCTCAGTGCACTTTAACCGTTTTTGGCCGCTAGCGAGGGGAGGACCATCGAGCTGTTTGGCCTATTTCGGGAAGGCGGCGATCATGCTTTCCCAGAGACGTTTTACTTTATCATTTTTCATCTTTTTCTCTCTGTTCGAAGGCGATTTCGCCATTGTTAGACTTTGAAGCTTTGTTCTTGAATCTTTGAATCGTTTAAGCTTTAAGTAATCATTTTTCATGTTTATCGTTTCATCTTTTATGCTTTGCTTGGTTTACTTAATGTGTAGTGAGTAGTTTTATCGGGTTTTGGGGTTGAGAGGATTCAAAGGGGTCGAAAGGGTTTTCAAAGTTTGGTGTTTTTTTGTTCTTCATGGCTTTCTCTTCTAGGATGTCGAGTTCTTAAGGCTTAAAGACTCTCACGCCAAGATCTTTATGATCAGAGAGGCCTCTTACCTTGACAGGATCCAGAGATCTCTGAAAATCGCATCCTAGAGACTAGTTACCCTTTCCCAAATGCCATGGTAGTTTAAGGGATTAGTTAAGCCGCGTGTTTGAAATCTGAGTTCTTTGCCTTCAATCTCTTCTTCCGCCAAACACCATGGGTCTGGAGGAGAGAATGAAGGAATGATCCATACCACACGCCATAGATGGATCTTGTTTTGTTTTCAAGGCTTAGAGAATCTCACAAAGTGAGTAGATTTAGAGTTTTCAAACCAAGCTTGGACCTTTGAGACCCTTGAACATGAATCTCAACCCTAGACCCTCTTTCTTAGTATTCTTACATCTCTGTTAGTCATTCGCTTGCTATTTGTTCGCATCCTGGTCATTAGATTCGTTTTTGTTGAGCATTTAGACGAGATCGATCATTGTTGCTCGATCTAGTGGTCGATCTTGTGGTCGATCCACTAGTCGATTTTTAATAATTCATAGCTTTGCATTTTAATCATTCTGCCTGTTCGTCGTGGTAGTTCACTCGTTCCTGGTATTTTTAAAATAGTTTTGCTTTGCATTTAGTCATTGCATCTAATTTTTAGGATTTTTACAAAACCGTTCATCATTTGCCTAGCTTTACTCGATCCTTGCATTATCATTGCACTTTCTAGCTCCTAGGTTGGGTTGATTCCTCTTGCATTATACTACGACTGTGTGCTGCTTGAGTTTTGATAACCTCCTGTTGCATTTCATCATAATACTTGCATAAAAACCTGTTATCAAATGGCGCCGTTGCCGTCTTAGGAGTGTTTAGAAAGCATTGAGATTTGGGGTTTAGTAAAGACTAAGTCTTTCTTTTTCTTTTGGTTACTGATTTTTCTACTCTCAAACTTGTGTTTCTCAGGTACATGAATCTTCGTTCAAGGGGAGACAACAATCTACTTCAACCCTTGGACAACATTCATCAACTCGGTCATTCAAGACAGCGAAGAGTTAGAGAGCAAGCTAGAGCTTTTGAGGAGATTGTTCAGCAAGGTTCAGTGGATTTTGAAGCGATGGCTGAGCACGAGCACCCAGAGGGACCTCCTCCAGCTCACGGGGCAGTGGGAAGGGGTAATTGAAACCCCCAACACGCGGCTAGACCCCCAAGGATCATAGGAGCGGGAGATGCTCCCGATACTCATCACAATAGGTTTGGGATCACTCCTCCTCCTGTACAGAACAACAACTTCGAGATTAAGCTGGGATTCATCTCAATGGTGCAAAACAATAAGTTTCACGGGCTAGCAATGGAAGATCCCTTGGAGCACCTTGATAACTTCGAGCAAGTATGTGGGATGATCAAGATTAACGGAATATCCGAAGATGCTTTCAAGCTGCGTCTCTTTCCATTTTCTCTTCGAGACAAGGCTAGACATTAGGAGAAGACCCTTCCACAAGGCACCATTACCTCTTGGGCTGAGTGTAAGAAGGCGTTCCTTTCAAAGTTCTTCTCTAGCACCAGAACAGCAAGGCTGAGAAGCGAGACCAGCGGCTTCACTCAAAGGAACAATGAGACTTTCAATGAAGCCATGGAACGGTTCAAAGACTATACCATTCAATGTCCTCACCACGGTTTCATCGAAGAGACTCTTCTAAGCACTATCTACCGCGGAGCTTCACCAAAGATTCACTTGTTGCTTGACACGGCTAGTAAGGGAAACTTCCTTGGTCAAGAGGTAGAGGAAGGCATGGAGCTGATTGAGAACTTGGCACTGAGTGACGGCAACTATGCTGAGGATTACGACCGTGCACCGAGAGGTTCTGAGCTAGAGTCTCACAAGAAAGAGCTTAAATCATTGCATGAGAAGATTGATAAGCTGGTATTGGCTAATCAGAAGCATGTTCACTTTGTTGGTGAAGCGGATGAAACCTTAGAGGAACTTGAGTTGAGTCAAGAAGAAGCCAATTGGGTGGCGGGTCAAAAAAACTACAAACCTCAAGGGTATTCACAAGGCTACAACCAGAACAACAATCTCTCATACCGTAGCACCAATGTCGCGAACCCTAAGGATCAAGTGTACCCTGGTCAGCAAGCAAAGCCTTTCGTACCATACAACAAAGATTTTCAAGGGCAAGGGCAGAACAACTTCCAAGGACAACAGCAAGGAAACAAGGGTTATACGCCAATGTACCCTCCGAGCTTTGTTCCTCAACAACAACCGATGCAACAACAACAAGTTGATCCTGTCCAAGCTAATGTTTCAACAATTGATTCAAGGGCAAGAGTCTACAAATCAGAAGTTTACCGAGATGAACACTCGTTTAGACTCGTCTCTCACGGATTTCTCTACTCAAATCACCAACTTGAATAACAAGATCAAGCAACTAGAGAAGGGGAAGCGGTCAGAATAGCTTACCGGGCAAGTGTGAGCAGAATCCTAAGGAATACGCCAACGCCATTACACTAAGGAGTGGGAAAGAGCTAGCACCTACGGTTACTCCCAAGATCAACGAGGACGTTGTAATTCAAGAGGGGGAGGGTAAGCTTTCAGCCGATGATGAGATCAACTTTGACAATGTTTGGATTCAAGGGCCAAGGAAAGGTGAGAAAGCGGTTGTAGAGAAGAAACCGGAGCAAGCTGCTAAGGAGAAGGACGCTTATGTGCCTCCACCGTATGTACCTAAGCTACCTATTCCTGGCCGCTTCAAGAAGCAACTCATAGAGAAGCATAGAATCTTGTTTGAGAAGCATCTTAAGGACGTAGAGATCAAGCTACCTCTCGTGGACTGCCTTGCAATGATGCCTAAGTGCGCCAAATTCTTCAAAGACACGCTTGTGAAGAAGAATAAGGAAAGCAAGGAAGTTCTTGTTCTTAGTGAGGAATGTAGTGCTGTGATACACAAGGAGATAGTCCCTAAGAAGTTGGGAGACCCTGGAAGCTTCACTATACCTTGCGCTTTAGGTCCTTTAGAGTTCAAGAGTTGCCTTTGTGATCTCGGAGCTAGTATAAATCTGATGCCTCATTCCGTGGCAAAGAAGCTTGGCTTTACCCGTTTCAAGGATTGTAGAATCTCGTTGGTACTAGCTGACAGAAGCGTGAGGTTACCCGTGGGTTTGCTTGAGGACTTGCCGGTGAGAATCAGTGGTGTAAACGTGCCTACGGACTTCGTTGTGTTGGAAATGGATGAAGAACCTAAGGATCCACTCATTCTCGGTAGACCGTTCCTAGCCACCGCTGGAGCCATCATAGACGTCAAGAATGGGAAGATAGCTCTGCACTTGGGTAAAGATATAAGGCTGGACTTTAACATCAATGAGGTTTTGAAGAAGCCTACGATAGAAGGGCAAGCTTTCTACATTGAAACGTTGGATGCTTTAGCGGATGAGTTGCTGGAAGAGTTGGCTCAAGAGGATCATTTGAAGCTGGCATTGACTAAGGAGCCAGGGAAGTTCGGTTATGTGGATCAGAGGACTTAGGAATACGTTAACTTGCTTGATTCAAGGAAGGTTGTGCTAGAAGATGAAGGCGTTTGCCTAGAGATTGACTCCAAGATCGACGACATTACTCGATCCAGGGGTCCAATCGATAAGACAATCGAGAGAACAACTCGATCCGGTGCAGAAATCGACAGTCAGATCAAGGAGGGTGATCGATCCAGGAAATCAATCGAGTCCGAGATCGAGAGAAGCCTTCCGATCAGTTTGGGGTGTAATCCGGAGATCGACTCAGCGTCTCGATCCACATTAAATCGAGTGAGTGAATCGAGCGAAACTGCTCGATCTAGATGACATCAAGAGCAAGATCAACTGGACGACTCGATTTCAGAAGGGATAGCGGTTGGAGAAAGCAGCCTCAAGGGTCATGTCTCGGGGTTCTAAGGAAGGTTCCAAGGAGGAAAACAACAGCAACAACCACGAGGATGATTGGAGCGAGCTGCTAGCCCCAAAGGTGGACCTTAAGGAGCTCCCAAAAG